CACACACACACACTCAAACACACACAGCAGCAGCCCTCTACTTGCTACAAACTTAAATATGAAAAGGTTCAACTACGCACATACACATCATCTCGGCTCGCTCAGCACGCTCACAGGCATAGATTGCGCAATAATGTATTGCGCACCTTGGAGGTGCAGTGCAGGCATTTGTCATTCAAGAGATGCGTAGTTCTTTTGGAAAACATGTTTTTCTTCTAGCCTATTTACCTCGTTAACGTAAATAATACTCATTACATTGACACGCATTATTTGTGATTAAAATAATGGTTGTTGGCAATGTATTAGCGACCCCCACAGATGTATGATTTCACTGCGTCCGTGGGAGCTCAGACCCCTCCTTATGGGTTATTATCCTCAGCTCCCATTGGCTCCCACTTAACTCGAACCCTGGCTGGACAGTTAACACAATGTAGGGTCATCACCAGAGATGGGGTCGTTACTAAAAAAAAAATATATATTACATATTACATATTTCTTTAAAAAAAAAGTAAATATTACACTACTTCGTTACTCTCTACATAAAGTAATTCGTTACTTTACTCGTTACTTTACTCGCAGGGCCGGCCCGCCCCTCCCTACAGGCAGATCACGCAGACTGCTAAAGTTTCAAATGTTCTCTTGAGTTCAGTTTCCATTGTCCAGATCCTGAATGTTTTCCTATCTGACCATGGCTGTCCTCTGTCTCCTGCTATCTGTATTTTGCGCAGTATATCTCTGCTCACGCTGTTGCATCGGCGTGTTCTCCTGCGTCTTGCCATGTGTCGCACTGGAACACACTGCAAAGACTTCAGCCGAGCACGTACGAACTGCGCATGCGTGAGTGGCAATAACTCTCCTTACCAGCAGGCGGCGGTAGTGTGTATTCATCATTCAAAACAGGCAACAACGGAAGACAGAGAAGAAGAACAGACTCCGTGATATAAACAAACAACAAATAGCGTGTGCATTAGCTTCACCTTAGCATGTGTTCTTTGCAGGTGCTTGTTGAGGTTTGACGTGGTGTTTCCAGCAGTGGATAACAGCTTCTGGCCTGGACACAGTTTGCACCTCACCGTCACATTCCTGTCTATTCTTCGGACGAACTCAAAATAATGGGCATACCTCCACCCCTCGAAAGTTATCGCTGACTCAGCCATGTTTATGCAGCACTGCACGTGGAGATGTGGACGCGCGCGCAGATTACGTGCATATAAACCTGCGGCGGAAACCCTTCTTGTCTGTCTGTCAGTGTGATGATTATGACTGATTTTAGTAAGTAACGAAGTAACGCGTGTCGGGGCAATGTTAGTAACTGTAGTGTGATTACTGAATTATAAAAGTAGCGCGTTTCACTACTCCGTTACCGACAAAAGTAATACTCTGGTCATCACACTCTTTTTAGTTAAACAATATATAAGTATATATATCTTAAACTACACAATTAGTTGGAATATACTGAATGAAACTGAATAATTGATTGACAATTGTCTGTGGGTTCATGACTAAGAATGACCTATTTTACATGACGCATAGTCATTAGATCCATTAGCGCATTCTAAACAATTACCAAAAACCCACACAAAGAGGGGAATTGTCCAAAACAGTCAATAAAAACTGTTATAAGATGAGTCAGTTTGGCATGAAATTGACTCACTAATTAATACCCAGGATTGATGGCATGGCACACTTATGAGTTTCCTGCAGAGCTGCTCTGAAGGTGATGCAGCTGTTAGGCTTGAAGTCTTTGAAGCTGTGCGCTCCAAAGACACATGTAGGTAAGATTTATCTGTTTTTATTTTCGGGATTAATAGATCAACAGAGTGACTGATACTAGCTGTTGGTTGCAGATAAGAAGTCTGGCAACGACTTTGATGTGTCAAACAACTTGCTGTTAATAATGTGGAGATTGATTTTCCCTGCTTTGAGTACCCCTGTTTTAACTGAAGTCTTGATTTATAACACTTTGTCACTCCACCACATGAGGAGGATAGTGACTGCCTCAGTTCAACAACCAATTCATCATATTGCTGCAACAAGGGGGAAATGTGCTGAGGCATGATGTATAGATGATGTGTTCTGCATGGTCCCGTTTTGTTGTCACATTAAACTTCTCTAGTACTGTAAGTGCTTGTTAATTAAATGTATTCCAGTAAATATATGATTTTGGACAATTACCAGGATGTCAAAAATATATACTGTTTTGAGTCGAAGCTGCATGCTAGGAAATGTATTAATGATGAATCAAGTCTCATAGCCAAGTAATTCCCCAAATTGCTGGTGTGTGAATATGCTTGAATTTGTGTAAGCTGCGTTCTAAGCCCCCTGCTGCCTCAGATACAGCCTATAGAAGCGTGTCAGGTTTCTAAGTGAAAGATGCCGTCAGCACCAGTCTGCAGTGCTGAAATGCAAGGAAAGAACACATGGGCAAAAAGGGTCAAATGGAAAGGAAGAGTAAACAATACGACGTAAACAAAGAAACAGCAGAGTAAAAAACGTGAAGTGAAAAATTGTAAAAATGCAACCGGGAAGATGAAGGACACACCTGGAGATAGGCACATTTCCCGAGTGGGATGTTCGAATATTACGCAGGGTTTAGGACACCTTCAGTGGTCTGAATGGCGTTCCAGAAGAGCCTGTCAGTAGTCGCTGCGCCTCCATCCATCCATCTAGACACCCAGGGACTCCATTACACCCTGATGGGCAGGGATGGAAAACCAATCGAGGGGATATGGGTACGAGGAGGAAAACAACGTATTGGCGCTGGGAACCACACAGACAGGCAATCTGCCATGATGAAGAGGCTCCCTTCCCTGTCCCTCCTTTCGGACCCAGCATGTCCTCCCGCATCTCCTTCAAGCCCCACTGCGCTCTACTGCAACGCCTTGGCAGCTGACCAACCCGACACCTGCCACACTTCTTCGCACTCTCCGCAGGCCTCGCTCTGAGCCCTGGCAGCATGCATTGGCTCACATCATCACATGGAGACAGATGCATTAATTGGATGAAAATAGATGGGAGCCATGTTTAAATTGTGTTGAAAGTAATTTATCAAATCAAATCAAGTTTTATTTATATAGCACATTTATAAACGATTTTTGGTCGAGCCAAAGTGCTGTACATATAATAAAAATAGCCTACAGTAGAGACACTTTACAGCTAATACAACAGCACAGATTGTTCAGAATATCAGTATGAGAAAAACGACACCCTCTATCCTTAGACCCTCACATCGTACAAGGAAAAACTTCCAGAGAAAACCCACAGTTTAAGGGGAAAAAATGGGAGAAACCTCAGGGAGAGCAACAGAGGAGGGATCCCTCTCCCAGGACGGACAGACGTGCAATAGATGCCGTGTGTAAATCGAAGAGATAATACATTTTACAGCATATAGACCGAATGTTAGGAAATGCATGTGTCTGTAATAAAAAGATGAATCTACAATGGTTTTCCTGAAGTTCAGCAGATTTGTAGTGGGCTTCCGTCCGGATTAGTTGCTGTGCTCAGGAAATGTCCAAGGCTGCAAGGTTAGCTGCAGTGTACTTAACCTACCCTCAGACAGTCTGCGCTAGATATACCTGTTAGTGCAGTATGATCAATTCATTAGAGGCAGCAAAGGAATACAGATATTAATATAGCGACAACAAATCTACCATGTGAAAACACGGCAATCCATCTCACTGAAGACTATGCCTCACAATGGGGCTGGAATAGGAGAATTGTGTATTTATTGATTTTCACTGAAGGCTTGGCTGGCTTTCTTTCACTTACTCCTTGGGCCTGATCTTTGCTCTGACTACTGGCTAAACACGTGCCTTATTTCATGCTTCTGCTCTTCAATGTGTTGTTTTTCCCAGTGTAATTGTTGCTTTATTCTGCCTCATAAGTGTACTGCTTATTATTGATCTTAGGATACTATGATTTTTAGACATACACGGCAGTCAGTCGTGACCTATTAAGTACACATTAGTTACATTATCTCAGGTTTTAATTCGTCCTGCAGCACATTATACTTTAACAGCCACTATGAATTTCAGATTCTGACACACAGCTTTAATGGTGTTCATCCGTTTTGGGTCTATGGTGTGGAAAGGGTTAGCTTCTTTACACACTGTTCTAAATATGTAGCATAATACAGCAGGACAATTAACCTCCATGTGCATACATTACATTACATGTTTATAGCTACTACTTTTCAGCGATATGGATGTAATACCTTCAAAGGAAAGCTGGGAGTTGGCACTTTAACCTCACTGTCATATTCTTTATTTATTTTACAAATTATGATATTGGATTTGGTCATTATATAAATGTATTAAACATACGGTTTTAACATCAGAAATGATGATCTTCTTTTGTTTATTGAATTTTTGGTCTACCCTGTACATCTGCACAGGGACTTCAGATGTAATTAAGCTTGTAGCTAATTCTGGTATTGCTAAGAAGCTGTGCAATGGAATGATCTAACAGCACCAATACAAAAAAAAGAATATATTAGTTACTTACATTTGCTGTGATATGTTGGATTATAAAATTGTTACCTGAAACACTCAGTTGAGCTGCTCCACAGTGAAGCAATGTTTTGTCACAGAGGGTGAGGGGGTGTTGTACTGAAGTTTTCTCTAACAAGTGCTTATTCGTGTGGGTGGAACCAAAATAGGTCTTTCAGATCTACACTTGGAGTCTCCGAAATCTGCTTCAGTGTCACTGAAAGAATTTGAATTCTGAATATGCACATTTCCTCAGAGCCCTGGGTCATCTTGTTTGCAATTTATTTAACAGATTGATCCCATTTCTACAGAACTTTTCTTTCTTCTGGCAGTCTTTTTTGCATTGTACTATTTTTATTCTGCAGTTCCATCTTACACATTTGTTCTTGGTGAGATCTCTTACAGCATATTGTTGTCCTTTCTGCAGATGTCTGCTGCCGTTGTTAAACATGAATGTAAAACTGTGGATGGTTAAAATGCAACAGGAAGTCTGATTTTAGCCTCTCTGTGCAGGTGCCCTATGTCAAGGTGGCTCCAGAGGACATTCTGAAGGTTCAGTTCCCTCGCTTCACCACTCTGGACATGAGGCCGACCAACACGGACATCAGCCTGGCTGTGGCCGGCCTTCTCACCTTCTTTAACAGCACCACCTCCTGCCTCATCTGTGCACAGGCTGACTGTGAGTACAGCGTTCACACCTTCACAACAAAACACACCATCACACATGAGGGGGAGAATCTGCCAACAAAGTGCAAACATTTTGTCTAATGTCTGCTATCCTTTAACACATGTAAGCAGACATACGTTTTTCGCACTTGGCTGTGTTCTAACAACAGATGTGTTGCTTATCAACATCTCACCCTGTGTCACGCTCCCCTCTGAAGCAGCTGCTGCACTGCTCAGCTAAAACTGCCTCACATCAACATCCCTGGCTTCTGCATCCAAAATAAATCACATTTATTGCGGGGTTCTTCCTCATTTTCAATGTCATAATGATCCGTAAATTAAATTATATAGCACGTTACATGGTGTCATGTTTATTCTGTCTTATACTTTCCATCTTAATGTCATGTTTGCAAGTCTGTGTACACCTAAGAAACACTGCTGAAACTCCTCTTTAGACTAAAAAGAACCAGGGTTGAGTTTGAAGTTGTATCTACCAGTGATCTGACCGCCTCCCTGTCAAAGGCGCTCATTAGATTCTAAAGATACTAAACTGAATGACCTTAAAAAAAGCTTGAAGATCTCCTTGAGGGAAGTTATTCTCGTAAATAGAGCGGAAGATTAAACCATAGCCCGTTCCCACCCTCTTGTAGTCCAGCAAGCAGTAATTACAACTCCCTAGACAAAGGCACCATGACCCTGAGTGGCACCCGCTAACCTTTTCCCTAATCAGCGCAATGCTTTGAAGAAAGGAAATAGACTTGAGACATCAACCATGTCTCAGATTGCCTGGAGATGGCAATGAGCCACTCTGAACCTCCCGCCTATCTCTATTCATAGTTATTCTGCCTTTCAGCTGCCGCTTTGACTGTTTCCTTTTATTCATAACCTTTAGGACAAAATCTGTCACTCAAAATGACATGAATAAAACCGAAATGTTTGTATTTACGGTCAGTTAAAGTAGATTCATGCTGTTATTTTTGTACCCTCTTTCAATTTATTTGATTAGGAAGAAATTCGTAAATAAATAATTGAATGCACTAAAAGAAAAAAGAAATATATATATATATATATATACATAATTGTAGTTTAAACCGACCTTACTATACAACCCATTTCACTGCAAGGGTAAAATATATCTTTACTTGTTTTTCCTTCTAGGTGTTTCTGTACCTGTCAGTCATTTTTCCAATTCAGGGCAAAGATTCTGTTTCTGTGACATGTATTCCACCGAGAGTTGATTAATACAGCTCCGGCGAGAATAGTAATAACAAGCGAACCTTTTAGGCACCCTTTGACTTTAATATTAGATAGTTTGGGGAAAAGAAACTCATTTTAACATTACTCTTTTTGTTCCCTCTGGGTGGGTGTGCAGGTTGGCGGGGAGGTTCTTATTCTGTGTCCCTGGTCTTTGAGAGTACTGGAAAGGAAATTAAATGAAATAAAAATAAATGAAATGAGGTTAGATCAGAGGCAGATAAAAGACTCTAAGGGGAGTCCAACATGAGAGAGGGGTGGGAGAGGAGAGGACAAGAGAGGATGCTATTTGGCAGATGTGGCAGATGCTATTTGGCAGATGTGGCAGAGGTGAAATGTAGTTGTTTGGGATGAGGAAAGGGAGGAGGCAACCACACTAGAATTATACATTAACGAGAGGGAGACAGTCCAGGAAATGACGTGGCTGTATTGATTGCACTCTCTCATGTGACCCTCGTTCATTCAATAGAAAAGGCATCACATGGCAGCATGCCTGGATTCATGCCTGTGTGTGTGTGTGTGTGTGTGTGTGTGTGTGTGTGTGTGTGTGTGTGTGTGTGTGTGTGTGTGTGTGTGTGTGTGTGTGGTGTGTGTGTGTGTGTGTGTGTGTGTGTGTGTGTGTGTGTGTGTGTGTGTGTGTGTGTGTGTGTGTGTGTGTGTGTGTGTGTGTGTGTGTGTGTGTGTGTGTGTGAAGGTCTGTGTTCAGCCATAGCAACAGCTGAAACCCATTCCACTTTGGCTCCTTCTCTCTCGGCCCCTCCCTGCCAGTTGGTTGGTTGAAAGCCTGTCGGTGGTTTGATTGATTGATTGAAAAGTTTATTAACAGCTAGTATATTGGGTACAGTACAGTACAGCTCAAAACATACAATTGTTAAGGGGATGCAGACCAGAGAAAGACTTTCGTCTTGTTTACATCAGGGTCCCCCATTTCCAATTCATCATGTCATTTAAGACATATAAGACATATTTGACATACAGATGGCTTATTTACAATTTACATACAGGTGGTTTTTTACATACAGATTGCTTGTTTACAATTTTCATTTTAGATTTCGTTCTAATACATCCTAACCGGACATTTAAGACATACCAAGTCTACAGATATACAGTTAGTAACAGAGTCTAAAATGCGAGTATATACATAGATGGGGGGGGGGGAAGCTGTCCATTGAACGACGGGTGGCTCGTCCACATATGCCGGCCTCATTAATCACCATAGGTAGTGACAGCCTAATAGAGCGTGGTCAATACATGAATATTGGGGAGGCAGGAGCGGAGGTGGAGCTGTGTCCAAAGGCACAGTGCACACCAGGACGGACATTAATAAAGCTAACCTCCACTATTGATAGCAGTGTGTGCAGCAGCAGCAGCCGCCGCATTACTGTACATCTGGCTCCGAAAACTCTCCATGTGGTTGAATTTGTTGACCTACTGGGGGGGCCCACATGTTGTGTGGTTGAGGCCTTTGGTTAATGAAAAGAGACACGTGTTAAAGTGCACGCACTGGACTCTGCATGCACACACGTACACTGTGCAAATCACACACATTCCCATGCATGCTGTTTCTGCTCTCACTCACACTGCGCTACATCAGACTACTTTCATTAGTGAGGTGATTGGTGCAGCTGTCAGTAAGCTTAAAGAGAACATCCCTTAAACTCTGAAATGTTGACTGGAACTGCAGTGCAGGTACACAGGATTTATAAGTTCAACAAAACAGTAGGCCACATGCTTGAAGAGCATTTTCTTTTCTCCTTCGATAGGCACAGTTTGAGAGCAAGGTTTGCCATTTCAACTCACTGCATTGCTCCACTGCAGAAAAGTACGCGACAAAACATACTTGGTATCATGGTTTCACTTTAAACTTTTAGTTTTGTATTTAATTATAGATTGTGACGTATAATAATTTGCAATTTTCCATTGCTCATGCTGACCTATGTGTCTACTTTTCTAACTTGTAATCAGTGTTAATCAGGTGGAAGAGACATCTCAATGACTTGTGATCAGCACTGTGTTATTGGTGTTAGGATGACGAGAACATAGTAATTGCAGAGGATGGTCTTAATACTACATAATTACTTTTATAATTGTAATTATGTCGTGGCCACTAATGATCATGATGTGAAAGGCATTGATGTAGGTAATCAAAGTGATAGTGGTGATGGTGCGAGAAGCAGCAGCACTTTGGAGTTTTAAAAAGCTTCTCGTTGAATAGATAAAGGGCAGTTGGCTAACATGCTGATTTTTTTAAATAAAAGTTGTTGACCCATAAAAACTACATTTTAGATGTGTGGAGAGTGGGCAGGGTTTGTGTACATAATTGCAAACATGTTGTATTTCTCTAGACTAAATTGCAACAACTTTTTTCTTGATGTTATTAGAAAAGGGATTGAGGCTGATTCCTCACCAGCATAAATCAAATGTGAACATTTCAATCAAGAGGCATCTCCTGTAAATGATGTACGGTTTTCCATATGATGTATTGTGACTATAACCAGTTTCTACAGAAAATTAGCAAAGTAACATACTAGGTAGAGTATGTTTCCATTCACTACGGTTATGTGGGTATTAGGAATTGGGCGTGTCAAGGTAAACAGCTGGTGGAGCTAATTGCCCAGTCAGGAGCCATTAAACCCTTGGAGAAGGACAAGGCACAACAACAAATTAAAGGAGAGCCAGTCAAAACTAAAACACTGAAAACATTGTCTCCTCTTCTAGCCTTTTAAGTGACATACTTTTCCCACAAAGTTTCATTGCACTGAGCATTTTGCTTTTATAAAAACAACAACCTGTAAAATATGTATGCGTTTTCTTTTGATGTGGGTTTTTCATGGATTTTTTAAACTGCCCTTAAAAACAGGTGTATGAAAACCACTTTGTGTCATACTCGGTTTATATCCAGCATGGAGCTTTCATCCTTACCTGTCCATTTAAGACAAAATAGAAAGCCAGACAAAGTAGTATCCCTTGTGGAACACTCTACATGGGGCAACAAAACATGTGAACCTGAACTCTGCTATCTTTGCCTCATTTTCTCTATATATTACTACACGGTAATATCACCCTCAAGCTGAAATAGCTACAAGAAAAGCTTTTGCAAGGATAAGGTATTTGCACTGCACACATCATTTATATGAATTCTGTTTGCAGAGAAATCAGGAATTATGAGTAACTGCACATTAGATCAGCCCCATCACTGTGTGACAGGTGGATTATTGCCATTATTGATGGTTGTACTTTTATGGTTATTTGGGTTAATAGGAAGGGGAATAAGTTCTGGAATTTGTTTAATGTTTTAACACATGATCTTGCAGACAACATTTTAAAGTGATGCCCAGCCATAAAACTAGGTATTACTCTGTTGAAGGCTAAATGATAAGTCATCATAATGTGTGGCTCTCATCAAAGATTGTGGGACTATATGTATTGCTTCTTCAAGATGGAAGATTTCACTATACTGTACATTATTCAAATACACCATCAAGGAATGCATATTCAGCTGCTTTAATGTATTCTGTTAATGTTTTTTATACTGCTTGTTCCTCTGTGTGTTAACAAACACACAACTTTAATCTATATAAATACCTTGACAGGATTCTCTTTGACATCATGCATTCTCTAGATTCAATTTACACTGGATTACACAAAACTAGGTACCAAATCAAAACTCTGACTCTGAACTTAAGGTTATGATCCTTAAAGATTCACTTAACGCCAGGTCTGACTGGGGTGGACAAAACTGTCCTTGGATGCATCTGCAAGGACCCCAAGTAGCGCTATGAATCTGTTTTTTTGTTTAGTTATCTACATTCCTGCCAGTGAATTCACACTTTTCCACTGATCTTGAGATGGCAGTTACAGTATGTCCAAGAAACACACTAATGAGGCAGCAATGTCAGGAAATACGGCAAGACCTGTTAATATGAAGGTAAACAATACAGGATTTAAAGTGTGGAAAGAACTGGCTTGAATTCAAAATAATTTCGGAAATAGATTCAACTTGTTTCTAAGCCTCAAGGATACAGACAATGCGATTAGGTGCGTAACTCTGAACGTAAACATAACTTAACTGGAGAAGCAGTAAGATCATGTTATTTCCCTGCAAGGTCAAACTTAAGAAAATCTATTTTTTTCGTTCAGCTTCACAGCTCCCCTTTAGATCCTGTGCAGCCAGAACTAAAATGAGCCTTTTCTGTGTGTCCCTTTATTTTAGCAAGAATTTGTGTATGTGCCGTTTGGCAAGTTATATTTAGTAGAAGCTCTAAAGTCTAGTGTCTAATGAACAAGAAACAGCAAGAAGCTAGAGAGAGCGGCTACAGGAGGCAGGCAAGGAGGGCGATTTCAAGCTATTTCAAGCTCATCAAAGTTATACTACAGAGGAAGCCGATCTGACAGGTCGGAGACACAGCCAGGCGAGCAAGGAGCAGCCACGAGTGATGTCTCATGAGTGCACACACACAGGTAGCCAGCTACAGGAAGACAAACACACCCGATGATACACTGCCGTACAGACCAGATGAAAGACAGACAGTAACCGAGACACAATTACAGAAGCCATTAGACATGATTCTGGTGTCTGGGGCAGTACTGTAGCGTGTGTTAATGTGCTGTGGAAAAGCTTAAAAGAGTCAGCTTGATAACTTTAAATTGTTGGACCACAATTGGTTCCCATGTGACAGATGATCTATTCTGCTGTCACCATGGCAAACATCACTGTTAAAAGATGTTGACGCCTAAGTCTAGAGTGTCGTTTTGTTATTTCTTTATAATGGACATTTTAGGTCGAAGCGAAGGTAATGCAAGTCTAGAGTGAAATGCAAGTCCTTCTGTGTAGCGATACGTCCTTCTCATATGACTCTCCTTGCCAATATCTAGAAATGTTATACGAGTGTGATTAGGTCATGGGAGGCCAATTTAACCATCACACATACATGCCATGGCTTATTATATTTCTCTCAGCGACTCATTATTCAGGTTGTATTTTTCTCACACTGACACACCTGACAAGTTTGTCTCCTATATGAATAAATTAGTCCAATAACCTCTCAGAGTCTGCTTATATATGTATGCCGAGTGACTTTTAAAATACAGCTGGGAACGCATTGATTAAGTCGGCAATGCTTTAATTAGGGCAAATACCACTTACCCCCCTCAGAGTCGAGCGGTCTCGTACCATGGGATCGAGTACAAGAGAAGTTGATGAAAACGTCCCTTTGTGTTGATGGCTTCACTATAATTGTAATTAAAAGAAATCAGTGCACGTGTTCTGCATTGTAAATGTATTTATGGATTAATTGCTGTGAAATGTGGTGGAAAACAAACAATAGCTACATTAATTTCTAGTTAGATACATTGTATGCATAGTAAGTGCATACTGCTTTAACAATACCAACCATGTACTTTAAATGCACTTGACTTTCCTTAACTTTTTGACTGTTTTATCTAATATGAAAAAAGCTATACAGTATTATACCTGACTTCATATCCTTGGGAGAGTCTTCACTTTATTTCAAGTAACCCTCTTATGTGTTTTTTTTCTGCGTGTGTCTTACCGGCAGGCTTATTGAACCTGGAGCAGCTCCTCAGGCAGTTCCTCATCTCCAAGGAGACTTTGTCAGTGCGCATGCTTGATGACAGCAACGACCCGACCCCGCTCCTGAAGGAGATACGAGATGACAAGACTGCCACTATTATAGTTGATGCCAACGCCACCATGTCACATATCATTCTGGAACGGGTTAGTATGGTTCACATGATGGCTGTGTTATTTGTGCACTGATAACTTGTCTTTATTCCATGTCTATAGTATTGGCTTTATACAGATCCACATTTATTTAACTTTCATATACCTCAAAAAGTAAAAGTAGCTGAAAACGCCGGTGGCAAAAAGGTTTCAGGGCTAACAATAATTGAATACGGGGAGAGTGATTTCTGTAAGAAGAAGTTGGTTTAGTTTTCATCTGTAAAAGTAAAAGTTTGTATTCCCCAAATAAATAGTGTGCAGTATTTATAAAATACATACTTTTTCACCGCAGTAATCCATTGGCTCTCTTTAATAAGAAGACGGATTACATGGATTTATGGCAGTAGACATTTAAAAGACATAGTTACAGAAAATCTCAGCTCCAAAGTAAAAGCCAGATGAATTGAGTCAAACAAACCTTTCACATCAAATTACATGGTATTAAATCAATTTGTATCCCAATGAATTACCTTCGAAAAGTGAAAATTCTACACAGTTAAGTGGAATGATGTGAATAAGGACAGAATCATAAAGAGGCACTTTTCTCTACTTTCTAATGGTGCAAAGTTTTTAAGTTTACCGCCTGAGAGAAACAAATTGAAATCTTTAGTGAAGATTATTTTTGTGCGTAGCCTAACAATTCGACCTGTATGAGGTAATTGCACATACATATCATTAACGTCACAGTACATTATCAAAACCTCCAACAGTCTAACGTCCACACAAGATGAAGCTCCTCCTGATTGGTGACTTGTGTTTGTAAAAAGCCTTAATGGCATCAATAACGGTGATTGGGCCAGCCGAGGAAGCTAGAGTGTTTGGCAACAGCATATGGCCTCTCTGTGATTAATACATACCTCCATTATTTCTAGAAGACGATGGATGGATGGCTAAAGTGGAGGTGACAGTAACTGCAGACAGAAGGGGGGGTGTTTCTCTCGCTTCTCCTTCTCAGTTATAGACTCACTCTCACAGTAGACCTTAGTCTCCATCTCTCACCTCGATCAAACTCATTCAGGCCGCCATCAGTGGTCATCCAAGTCACCATGGCAACCCTGGGCCACAGAGCGGCGGGAGCCCACAGTGGGATGTCTTTCTTTCTTTATTTCTCTCTTCCTCTGTTCCCATTCTCCGTCTGTCTGTGTCTTCATTATTAGATTAGATTAGATTACTTTATTGTCATTACAAAAATGCAAGCACAGTGTAACGAAATTTAAGGATGGTCTAACCAGAGTGCAAAACAGTCAGTTACATACACAATTATCAGAAGTATGTACCAAAATAAATGATACAAACATAAAGGTAAATAGATGGGAAATGTATAAATAGGAATAAATACACAGATAATAATAAATACAGTGAATACAGAATTGCGCTTCAGCACAGCACACGACAACAACTAGGCAGTATGGGACAGCGTGGGGTTCATTGTCAGCAGTCTGACTGCTGAAGGGAAGAAGCTGTGCGTAGTCCTGTTGGTTCTACCTGGGAGGCTGCGGTAGAGTGTCCCAGAGCGGGTGCCACGTAGGGGGATAAACAGTGTATGGTTGGGGTGGGAAGAGTCTCTGATGATGTTTCGTGCCCTTCGCAGGCACCGCTTTTCATAGACTGAGGCTATGGAGGGGAGTGGCATCTTGATGATGCGTTGTGCGATCTTATCAACATGGAGTGGTTGTCGTTCTCGCTCTTTGCCCGTGAGAAGACTATTTCACTTTGTTTCCTCACACCTCGCTCTTCGTGTGGTCTTGTGCACCCCATCCCTGTGTCTCTCACTCTTTTGTCTCCTATTTGTGTCATGCTGCCTGTCACAACAATCCTGCAGCAGGGTGGTAGAAAGTTGGCAGTCCTGGCTCTCGTTGAGTGCCTAGTTGCCAACCATATCAGATATATATGGCGTATATGCCCTTCTCAGATGGTGATAAGAGTGCTGAGCTGCTCGGGACAGAATCGCCTTTTGTCATGCAAGACATTTCCCATTATGTGTCTGTTTACATCTTGCATCTTACAGTTTCTCACTCTCTGAGGATTTTGCATTCTGAGGGGTTTAGGTCAGCAGTGTTAGCATTCTGAATGTAATCTTGTTTATTCAGCCCTCCACTGCTGTGCACAGCTTTACAAAACCACAGTAGGACTGATAGTGAGCCCAGTATACCGGGGCAGTGCAAACTGCCTGCACTCTGACCAAAAGCTGCAGTAGAACAACAACGAGGAGATCGCAAAGTGGGATGAAAAAATGAAAATAAGCTTATTTTAAATGCAGTGAAAAGAAACCAAAAGGATATTTTTCATCAGCTGCTTGTTTTGGTTGTACTGTGTCTTCTGATGTGGGCAGCAGGTAAATGCGATTTAGGTTATAATGTCATTTTTTCTTTGGACAGTGTTATGGAAATCTAAAAACCCCAATACTGTAGAGTACAAGTCAGAAAACAAATAAATGGTGAATCAGACACAGTTGTCTTTCTGGTGATGTTTATTCGAGGCCTCAAACAAACATCAGATACAATAAAATATAGACACAGGTCTCACAGAGTATAGGATAGTCTGCGCGAGTGTGCGCAGTTTAATATAATAGCAAAGCAATATAAAGGGAGAGTAAAAAGGTGGGGAGGAGAAGAAATCTTCACACGGTCACATTGTTATTAGACACCTGGCCTTGAGCTGTAGAAGTTCTCGTCTGACTTTGTGTGAGTCAACTCAGTAGCCAAAACAGCTCTGTGGCCTTGAAGTAGAGAAGATAGAGGAAAACAGCACAGTAACCAAATGAGAAGCATTTGGTTACTTTGAACATATCAGGATATAATAAAATGTCCACTACAACAGGTAATAAAGACATTAATCACCCAAGTTACAGAAGCTGGGTGTTAGAAATATTACTTCCTGCATAAAGTACTGTTAAACATATGTATCACCTCTGCCATTACCAAGCTTAACTGGCTCTGTGTAACCCTGCAGGGCAGATGCTAAAAACACTAAGCCTGAAGCATAAAAATGTAATCAAATAGTAATCATGCTAGTAATTTTAGCGTGCTAAATATGCTCAAAGGAGAAAGCTTTAAAAAGTCAACATGAGAGGTCCTTCAGAGTTTAATAGTGACATCTGTGTTTGGTTGTTTTTGCCATATAAGATGTGTTTTTCTTCTCTTTGTGTTTTATTATTTATTCTCCCGCCGAACACTTAAGCTGAATATTCAGCAACTGAGTGATGCACACATCGTATGGCATTCAAACACCAACACAGAGGTTACATTTGTGCAGATAACAACCTTGGAATAATGTTAGTCTTTCAACTATTTATTATGGAAATATGTAAATGTCAGTGCAGCGAGTTGTAGAAAAGACACTCTCTGTGAAGCGACGCAGAAGGGACATGAGGATTAATACATGCTCACAAAGGATTCCACCCAGGGTTGAATAATGTATAGTAAAAAATGTTTTGTACAAAGAGGACATTCTTTAAAAAGGCTTTTATATATATATATATATCTCCTTGACATTTATTGATTTGAATCATAATGTGCATCACATCATGATTAAACAGAAGCCTATAGCTCGATTATTTTTTCTCTTTTGTTAATGACTTTAATGAAATTAAACTATGAAAAGTTCACCCTGTCCTTCACAACTGCTCCTCACTGTGACTTTGATTTAATCAAATTGTAAGACGGAGTGTCGAGCAGCATACTAATGCACTTCGGAAATTAATTGCTCCATTGAGAGCCGTCCTCAGATAAGAATGTGCCTTGTCTTATCTAGATGTGGATTTGATCTGTCTGCTGCAGAGTGGAGCTTGAGTTACACTGAATCACTGACCTCTCAACTTCTCTCCCGCCCCTTTATTCTAGACACTCTCTGCTGCTCTTTTGTTCTCCCGCTGCCTGCTCCGTTTCTCTGACTTCCACCATTTTGTTGAAACTACAATCGTCGTATTCCTGTTTTCTGCCTTTTCTATCTCTTACGTTTGCCTTTTATCTCTTACCTCCTGTCCCTCTTGTCTTTTGTTCTGCAGGCATCAGAGCTGGGGATGCTGTCAGTCTACTACACTTACATCTTCACCTCTCTGGTAAGGAAACGGGGGATAGTCTTGATGTCTGGAGGCAATATAGATGTCACACCTGCAGGAGCAGATCAGTAGTCCAATGCTGTGCTCCTGTAGTGTATTAAAATAGTGCACTTTAATTGGTGCTCCTCACTTGAATTATTGATTGAATAGATAGAGTTAGGCAGGCAGGAGCTAAGACAGAGGAATTATAGCTTAGCTTCATTATAGCATAGCTGATTTTCTCCCTCACTGCTTGTGATTTCAAATTAGAGACGTACTGAGTGTGGTGGCTGAAATGGCTCCAGTCACTGATCATTTGCCCCTCGTCAGTTGAAGTGCACTCCTGGCCCCAAAAAATACATAATAATGATTATTGTGATTGCTACTTGTACTATTGTTGTTGTTGCTGCTGCAGTTATTAATCTAATAGTGATTGTGGAAAGCCGGCCAAGCCCCCATGGAATGAGCGATGAGGTCATCGTCCTTAGTCAACATTAATTTCTGTCTAAGAGTTGAGGAAGAGCTCCAAACCTCATTCATCTTCACCTTTCTTCTTCTCTGTCTTTTCTTTTTTTCCGTTTTAGAATCTATCTACTCGTTTTGACTGCAGGTGATTTACTCAGTGTTTGCTGATTTAGCTTGTACTGTAAACGTTTCTTTATTTAGTTTTAATTACTTAGCTACTTAGCATAGTTTCTCGCTAAAGTTAGCCTTGGACCCTTGTAATGTTGGTTCACATTTAGGGGCATTTCTATGTAGTTGTATAGTGCCCATAAACTATTTCTTACTGATATAATCACATTGCATTACATAATGTTGAGAGCACAGCTGCTTTAATCTTCTTGTTAACTGCGGTTAGTCAAAACTAATGTAGCTTGGTAAGCGATGCTTCATAGAGGATGTTGCACATTGCCAACACTGGCAAAGCAGTCAAAAGAGAGAGAGGCAGCTAAATGTTAACTCTGCAAAGTTGATTTCAAAGCATTGGCTGGCCAACAGCTGAATCACTTTGAGTGAAACGCATAGTTCTTAAATGTTATTTTTTTCAAGTTGTAAGTGTTTTTGAGGACAAAGATGTTTTGTTTTTCAGGCAAGGGCACTGTTATGAACCGAGACACAGGACACAGGACCCAAAAGCAGGACTCGAAGACAGTTGTCCAAAAATAGAATGTTGTTTAATAACAAAACTAAATCGTACTTTCAAAAAATAGAAAGTAGTTATACCAAAAAAACTAAGTTGTACATCAAAACAAAACTCACTTGGCAAAAAGTCTAAATCTCAAAATAAGTGTCAGGAGTCAAAAGGCCCAGGTTCTCACGACATGAAACATAACGAACTGACAAGGGAACAAAGAAACACAAGGGCTATTTATAGGTGAGGAGGATGGGCACAGGTGAAAACTATCAGGGCAGGGCCAAGCCATCTCAAGGGCGGGAAATACACAAAGGCAGGAAATGTGGGATCTGGAATGAGAGGGAAGGATTACTTTCAAAATAAAAACAGGAAGTGACAAGATCAAAACACAAGACTAGAGTAAAAAACATAACTTGACCTAACATAACTGTCGAGTCACAACAGGCAACATGTTTCCTTAATTAATTGTGGGTACTACAGAAATGTGCTGCCAAAAGTACATCAACTACAACTTTTAGTTTGGCTGCATTTAGAATCAAAAGGTTTGTAGCTTGCTATTCTCTGCAACTTTCCAAAGGCATTGCATGGCAGCTAATAGTATATTTTATTATATATATAATATATATATTATTACTTTGAATAGTGTTTTACATTTTTTTATATAATCTACTGTGCCTTCATCAGAGTGCAGAGTGGTGACAGAGACGTTTGAAATTAGTCACTGCTGCTAAAAATGTCTGCGCTCGTCCATGCTTGAAATGAAAGGGATTGACCCCAAACTTCAGAGTAATGGTGTTAAGGAACATAGATGCTAAGGGATCAGTGGGAGTTATTGTAAGATCATAAAGATATGAGCCTGGAGAAAATGTTATGCAATAGTAAACTTACTAGATAGTGGCTCCCTAATGGAAATTAATGAGGTTCGCACCACTTTACTCTAATAGCACTGTAGAGATGATTCATATCAAGCTGATTTATGACTCATTAAGAGTGGGCTGCTGCCATGTTTTCCTCTGCAGCCCTTAATATAGTCACTTTCTCCTATTTTATCTTTCTTTAACCTGCTTGTCTTTGTTCTTCCGTGTATATAACTATAGGTTACTTACGTAACCCCAGTTCTCAGAGTAACATGAAGTGAGATGTCTCACTAAGGGGATGCGCCTCAACGCGTATGCAAACAGAAGCATCAATCTCATTACGCCAATCCTGATTGGCTGGTGATCTTGACGTCTACGTCAGGGAATCCACCCACCCTTTAAGTAGCTTGCGCTACGTCGCAGCGTCATTCAAACACCTCTTCTCGCTTCGCCTTAGCAAGAAGGGCCGTCTGGTGAGACATCTCACTTCATGTTACTCTGAGAACTGGGGTTACGTAAGTAACCTATAGTTCTCATTCATAACACTCCGTTCGATGTCTCACTATGGGATATTGAAACTCCCGTATTGCTAGACATGCTTATCTCGAAAATCACCAAAACAACCAGCACTTAACAGGTAGAACCCTGTCTCAACACGGGGCCCAGCACTGCGCAGGCCATACTTGGAGCAGAGACATCTAGCCTGTAAAAGCGGACAAAAGTGAGCGGTGAGGACCAGCTCGCTGCTGCACAAATGTCTTGGATGGAAACACCCTTGAACAAAGCCCAGGATGTAGCCAGTCCACGAGTAGAATGAGCACGTAGGCCCGTTGGTGCCTGCAAACCCTGACTCGTATAGGCCAGAGCAATAGCTTCCACAATCCAGTGGGAGAGCCGTTGCCTGGTAACGGGCTTGCCCTTATGAGGGTTAGCCCAGGATACAAAGAGTTGGTCATTGCATCGAAACTCTTTTGACCTGTCCATATAGGTGCGTAAAGCACGGACTGGGCACAGCAAATTCGGCCGCTGTTCCTCAGAGGAACACAGTGGCGGAGGAAATGCCTTAATGTCAATGGGGGTACATGAGCCAACCACCTTAGGTACAAAGGCAGGGTTGGGCTTCAGCAACACTCTCGTTTGCCCAGGGGCAAACTGGGTGCATGAAGGATGTACAGAGAGCGCATGAATGTCACTGACTCGCTTGGCAGATGCCAGAGCCAATAACAACACTGTTTTCAGTGACAGGTGTTTCATGTCAGCTTCTTCCAGGGGTTCAAATGGAGGACGAGTGAGCCCATCTAAAACCACTGCCAAGTCCCATAAGGGCACCAGTGACCTGGAAACAGGGAGGAGCCTGCGAGCCCCTTTCATAAAACGGCAGACCAAGGGATGTTGGCTAGCCGTCTTTCCCTCAAAGCCCACATGGCATGCAGCAATAGCAGCCAGGTACACTTTGATCATAGAGAAAGCTCTGTGTTTATCAATCAGGTCCTGTAGAAATGATAGAATCACCCCGACAGGACATTGAAAAGAGATGTGTTCTTTTAGAAGGCACCACTCCTCAAACACCCTCCACTTACAGTCATAGAGGGACCTGGTGGAGGAAGCTATTGCACTCTGAATAGTGTTTATCACCTTCTGAGGGAGTCCCACTGTATTCAGGTTATACCACTCACGGAGGCCCATAGTGCCAAGCGCTCTGGGTGTGGGTGAAAAATCGCCCCCCCCCCCGCCTGAGACAGTATGTCCCTGTGTAGCGGGAGTTGCCACGGCTGCCCGCACAGCAACTGATATATCTCCGCCAGCCAGTACATTACAGGCCAGTGTGGAGCTATTAGGATCAGTGTGTGGCGTTGTTCTCTCACTCTGGCCAGAGTTGGGGGTATCAAAGCCAGGGGTGGGAACGCGTACAGAAGGGCCGGAGGCCAAACGTGCGCGAGCGCGTCTACGCCTAACGGTGCGTTTAAATCGCGCATTGAAAAGAACAGCTGACATTGAGCGTTTTCTTTTGATGCGAACAGATCCACCGCGGCCCGGCCGTAACGCACCCACAGCTGACTCACAATTATTGGATGTAGAGTCCAGTCTGCATATAGTGGTGCACCTCTGGACAGCAGATCTGCCCCGAGGTTCATCACTCCTGGTACGTGCGTCGCTCTCAGAGAGAGGAGACGTCCGCAGCTCCATAAGATCAGTTTGCGTGCCAGCATGTTTAACTGGAGAGAACGCAAACCCCCTTGGCGGTTTATATACGATATTGTGGTCGTGTTGTCTGTCCTCACGAGGACATGATGTCCTCTGAGAAAAGGCAGAAAGCGTTTCAGGGTGAGGAACACCGCTAAAAGCTCCAGATAATTTATGTGTGACCATTGGAGGTCTCTGCTCCAGAGACCTCTCACAGGTCGACCTTCGTATATACCCCCCCAGCCCGTCAGACATGCGTCTGTGGTGACCACCTTCCGCGATAGGACAGCACCCATAGGCACGCCCGTACTAGAAAAGTCGGGTGCAGCCAGTGGCGCAGTGCCATTACGCATTTCATAGTGACCATCACTCTCCGCGCGCCATGACGCACGGGGTCCAGTCTGAGGGCAGCTACCCAGCGCTGAAACTCCCTCATGTGTAAGCGTCCCAGTCGTACCACCAGGATGGCTGACGCCATGAGCCCCAGTAACCGCAGACATGATCTGAAGAGAACATATTTGCGTGGCTGGAAATGAGCGAGGCAAGCCCTGAAGGCTTTCACTCTCTCTGCTGACAGGCGGGGTGTAAAGGGCACCGAATTCAGGCGTAGGCCCAGGAAGAGTACAGTCTGGGCTGGGGACAACATGCTCTTTTCTGTGTTTATTACGAAACCCAGGTCGAGCAGGTGTTTTACGAGGACATTTGTCTGCGTAATAGCCTCTTGCTCCGACTGTGCGAGAAGGAGCCAATCGTCCAGATAAGTTGCCAGGCGAATACCCTGTTGTCTTAACGAGGCTATCACGGCTTCCGTACACCGTACAAACACTCGTGGGCTGAGAGACAGA